CCACCCACCCCACCCCACCCCACCCACCCACCCACCCGGCCAGCACATGCAGCAACGCAAGCATGCACAGACATGCATTGCAGGCCTGGAGATGCATCCATTGCCGCACCGTTCACGTCCAAGGCCACTGGCCGTGCGGCTTTAGTCAGCAGAGCTTGATGACTTTGTCGGAACTTGGTTGCCGCAGGCGCCTTCCGTCAAGAACTGTGTCGATTTAATTCGACAAGGTCGGTGCACCCTGCTGTCGGTCAAAATCTCAGCAGCACGAAGCAAAACTAAGATCCGAAGTGCAGTTGGCCGTGGCTTAGGCCCTCCAGCAGCAACAAATCATGATGTCTTTGCCCCAATGGGCTTTGCACAGAATATGGCGTGTCCCGTCCAGCACAGCATGCAGCAGGAAAGCATGATTTCAAGGCTGAACTGCATTATCAACGCCTACGTGCTCTCGGCACTGTCCTTAGAAGGCTCTCGCACCTCGGAGAGGCCAGGCCGAGAACCGCTGGCACGGCATCTCCACTACATGTAGGGTACCTTCAATGAGAGTGATGGTAAGCCAAATGTACATCGTGGCGCATCAGGAAGGGTGTGCACATTGCATCTTTTTGGAGGCAGTTGATGGCCTCCTCCTGGCTACTGACAACAGCATCTCTTGCGTTTACATATGCCTCACCATGCCACTCAGCTCTCTTATGGGCAGTTCTTGTACGTTGAGCCTCACAAGAAGCTGATTCTGGCTGCCAGTACGAATAGCAGACGATGTTGACGGTGCTGGATGCTTGTTGATTTGTCATTATCATGCTGTCGTCGTTTGTCTCTTTCGCCACTTCTTCTGACCGAGGTGATCGTATGCATCCTGTCCGTCCTCTACGGTCACTTTTTCATCCAGCCGTCTTCTTCTCCATGCTTGGACAGGCCGGATGCGACATCGCCAGCGTAAAGCAGCTATAAATAGCCATCAACTTCCGTCACATCCGGCTTCTTCGATGGATAACTGAACTAGGGCCAGGTGTTCGGTGCAAGAAGCCTTTGCAGAGAAGATCGCTAATGGTCTGTCCGTTGAGCCCGCACGAGCTAGCCGGCCCATTTCGGGCTCCCCAGAGTCCCAGACCGTCGTAAAAGCTTCTGGTGAATGCCACGAGACAAACTTGACTGTTCTCTGGAGATCGGTTGCAGCTTGGCTAGCGGCTGCGTCATCCTCCGACCCAACCCACGCAGTCCGCAGGCTGTGATACATCTTTTCTGCATGGTCCATCTCTCAGCTCGCATTGTTCGTGTGCCTGCCAGTCACCTGTCATGATTTTCTTGAAGGTCGCTGCCGTCAAAATGGCAAGAGCAGCAATGGAGGAAGACTCTCCCGAAAGACTAGCAGGCTTCGCCATGCCTCGCCGTGCTGCTTCTCAATGCAGGATAATGCAGTTATCTCCTGCCAAAGCTTCACGCTATCTGGCACTTGTTCAGGCTGGTCTGGGCCATCGTTGAAGGCCGGAACATGGCCCTCACCGTTACCTTTGCCGTCGTTGCCCTGCTTTGAGACGTTTTGCCCTGCAGAGGATGTATCAGAGTTCTGGAAGAGAGAGAGAGCCAGACGGCGTGGTTTGATTGAGCAGGACCGAGTCGTTGGAGTTTATGGCCGAATTATGTCGAGTTCACACAGCTTTGAACAGGAGGAAGAGGAGGACTGGACCACGTATGCTTTGAATATGTGGCAGCAGCCGTTCTTGCATCGATCTCAGTCGGACAGAGAGAAGAGGACGCAAAGACATGCGCAAACCTGAAGGCCAAACCTCATGAATACCGTGGTGTTTTTGGTGGAGACAGCAGCTGGCCCAAACGACGACACCCCCTGCCAGAGCCATCTCCGGCCTTCTCCCATCAGGCGCAGACCGTCGCCATCCTCTTCGTGAACTACAAGGTGCAAATCTTCCCCAGGGCTCCTTGGGGTCCTCGTCCTAGTCAGTTGGCGCTCTGTCAGGGCCAGCCATGGATGAAAGGAGTTATGGAGAACCGCGCTGGCACCTCAAAGAGTGGGCTTGAAGCAGATTGCGAGAGCAGCATCCTGAGACGCATGCTGATCCTGCATGAGGCATTGTTTCTCTCAGTGGTGGTCGTTGCTGGAAGCGTAGCTGCAGCAGCGCCGGAGCCTCGGATTACATGTTGCAGCATTGATCTGGAATGATCGTGGACTCAACGCTTCCATATGATCCATGCTGCACTGTCTTCACAGACCTTTTGTTTTGGCTGGTGATGCTGTTGTGAAGCCCCGCGATAGTTACAATTCTCCCAAGATTAAATATGCTCGTGGCAATTGAGGTGGGAGTTCCAGCCGCACCTCAATGCCTTGATTCACTTGTCTCCTTTTCCGAATGTTCCTTGTCAGTGACATGCCAGCAAATGTCAGCACTCAAAATAGCATCTGCTTCTCTGTCAGGACCAGTTCCGCTGGCAAGTCATGGGCCTGGTTGGCATGACGCTGGCGGGCACCTTCATTTGGGACAGGTTTTGTGTCTATCTATTTGCAAGCGAGATCTTCAAGGCCAGTCGCGCCTCACCCAACCCTAGCGGGGTGCTTGTGGCCACGTTGGAGGCCATGGTGGACTCTGCCAAGAAGACAACTTTTAGAGCCGACATTGTGCCAATCTTCTTCACGGTCTTGAAGGCACCGGGCAAGCACAGAGTCGCAGAATGTCGCAGAAATGCAAACATGGCATGGGCAGGTCATGGCCTGCTTCGTGGTCCTCGGTACCGGCAACTTGCTCATGGCTGGCTTGGCCTTCTGGATGTTCTGCCCTCGCTGAGCTGCACCCTCAAACACCCGCCGGCCCGCCGCAGACTCCTCACAAGGTATCGCCGCCATTCGCAGGAAGCTGACGACTAGACGCGCGTTGCAGCGCTGAGGTGGGCACGAGATGTGCACGGCAATCGTTATGGCTAGTGCGTGATGTGCGTGCTGGTGTCGCATGGTGCTGCCAGGTCGATGCCTTTGCTCTTCGCCGGACCCCTCCCCTTGCAGATGCGAAATTCTCGGTGATTCAGTGCCGCAGCGGTGTTTTGTGTCTCTGCATGAGTTTGCATGATCGACGGATGCAGGCCATCCTTTGATGCTCCGCCTGGCGGGTTAATGAACCCAGATGGTGGGTGATCTAGTAATCAGCCACTGTCTAGCTCTGACCTCTTCGGCAGCGTCAGAAACAAAAGTGCCGTCTGGCAGCACAGCTGGAATATGAGTGCAGATCCAGCTCAGTTGCTTTCGCGAATGCTTTCGCGAGCATGAACCCGTGCAAGTCTGTGCGCGTGACGCACAACCAAATGGGGAGATAAGGGGAGATGTAGGAAAGCAACAGCTGCACTTCTAAACTCAGTGCGCGATTCTCATCTGGCCACGTGATACAGGTGCTCAGCCACACTTGTGAAGGTTTTCATCCAGCCCTCATTTTTGATCGTTTGTTGAATTGTTCTGGTCGGATGCTGCGCGATGCATTATCATTATCATCTATTCGAGGAGAGCCTTATCAGTCAGTATTGGTGCACGGTTGTTGTGGACTGCATGCGTGCTTTGTAAAGCCCTAGTCATGCTGAGGTCCCAATCCGCCCACCCTCTTCGTTGGCAATCAACTATGCTCACAGGTACCCCCCTGCATGCCGACACATGAGCGGCCGTCAAAAACATATGGAAGAACAGAGGTAGTCTACAGCGGACATGATATAAGCATAAGCCGAGGTTTGATCTGCAGAACGATAGGGGACCCACCAAAAACGATAACGTGCGTACGCATGCGAACGACTCCGACTGGCATTTCTCTCTGACTGCCTTTGAGTACTACAGGTGTACTACAAGTGAGCACAATGCACGGATCCTTTCGTTAAGCTATTGAGGGAGATTGAGCGAGATGCCGAAGCTGCTTCCAGTTGCGTAGGGGGCATGCTTAGATGCATGTCTCGTTACAGATTGCAAAGTTAGGCTCTGAGCGGGGAAAATGCATGTGCCGTAGTAGCATGCGAACATGTCGACATTCGACATTCCCAACCTTCCGAAGGGTCCGTTTTACCCACTAATTTGTCCTGGGTTATTCCCGAGGCAGTAATGCAAAACGGGGTGGGGGCCCTCTCATTTTCGGTTAGGCCTAGGGATAGTAAAGTGCTCGGCCGATGCTAACCAACCACAACCGCCACGCCATGCATGCACGCGCACGGACGGACAGACGGACGAAGCTCCAAAACCATAAATGGAGGTGGTTTGGAGGGCTCGCCGTCCCGAACCAGTTATTTTGATTCTGTTTGCACGCACAGCACATAGGAAAACGAGTCGGGCAGTGCATATAATCGAGGAAAGAACTAGGATGGCCTGACACTTTTTGTAGCCTTCGCTCAAAGGCAACCATGTGCCAGTCACCGCATGCGAACATGTCTACCGACCAGCTCGGCACAAGGCCACTTGCGCTTCAGATAAAAGAATACTTAATAATCATATTTGCCTGATTGCAACATCTTTCTCCTACATGTAGCCATGACTGGAGTGTGTAAAGGCGCGAAGATGAACGAATCATCTTCGAAAGCATATCAATCCAAATCCACCTTTCGGCAGGCAGCAATTGACAAAGCCGCACAAACCTCGGCCCATTCTGTATTTAAACGTATTATTGGGTAGTGCAACGGCAACGCAATCATGTGTCGATGAATGGCTCGTGGCCTCCACAAGAACGAGGCGGACGGGCCAGAAGAGTTGTTGTGTTGTTCTTGTTGATTGTGCAGGATTGTAAACGCTTCGCGTCGTCCTCCTAGCAGTTGCAGGGCCCAACAAAACCACGAATGTGGCTGCGGGGCGCGGGGGTCGAAGGGTGGCCGGGGCGGGGCAGAAAGGGGGCTGGGAGGGGGCGGGGGTGGGTTGCCGGGTGGGTCGGGCAAAAGTCAGCATACAGTTGCCAGAAGCCAAAATCAGGTTTTCGTTTAAAAGGGCGGCGGTTGGTCATCAGGGACAGGATGAAGGTCCAATGAAGGCAACCTCTCACCAGCTCTGACCGCTTCGGCCCGGGCCGAGACGACTTTACAGAATGCAGATGAACCCCGCAGAGGCTGTCTTGCTTTTCTTCATTTAAATCCTCAGGAAGATGCTTTTGGAGAAGACGAAGGAGAGGACGTGTACCAGTCTCAGCAGAAGGTGATGACATATCGTTTTTCCAGCGTTCAGCCGTAGCGCATCCTCATCACAGACATGTGCCAGGTCAGTCAAAGACAAGGCCCAGACATCTGTTTCTGTTGGAACTGTCGTGCATCTTTCGGTTCGGCTTGGGCTGACAAAAGCTTACAAGGATCTTACAAGCAAGGGGTAAAGAGATCTTGCGAGGCACATGTGTCAAGATCCAAAGATAAGCCCAGCAGACGCCGCAGCCTCTGCCATCTTTTTTTCCAGCGCGTTGTTTGGGTTGACCGTCGTTTGAGACGTGCCAGGGCGCGACAGCGTCACAAGTGCGACCCTGGGTTTCGACGACTCGGATGATTTTTGTGCGCCAACGTCTCTACAGGTGCGTAACAGTTTGCAGATGCGACACCGTGCTTTCATGCAAATTGGTGCAGGGCCGTCGTTGCAAACTCGCTTCTGACGGTATACTGCGGTGTTTTTTAGCCGTGGATGGCTTGTTTGTAGGCGCTCTGCAGGAACATCGATCTTGCTACGCTGCCAGTTCGGTACTCCTTGAATGTTACTCGAGTGTGTCTTGAGTGCAGCAAGTCTTTGGCCACGTTGACCCTCCAAACATTTCTAAGCCGTCGGTTCTCTGAGCATCCATGCACCGACGAGGTGTTTAGCTGGAGGGTTGTTCTGCGGCTTTCGCTAATAGCCCGAACTTGCCTTTAAGCACCGTTGTTCGCTTCGCAGCATGTAACTTGTTATGCCTCCGCCAACGGAGGCATCCGAGCAGGCGATCCTCACCTTGCGAAGGCAGGGAATGGTGGAGTCTGCGAACGGCATGCCAGCGCCTGGACAAGGTGCGTCTTGAAATATCGCATTACTTCCGCCGGTGTGGCACCCGGGCTGCCAGTCTGCAGATGTCAGCCACAGCTCGGGCGAACGAATACCACGGAAAATGCAGTAGCGCCGAGAATTTGATCTCTTGGGCCACACACCGAACCGGGGGCAGCTGTCGAGGGATGGCCGGCCGGTTCGTTTCCAACAAGCCTGTAACAATGGCGGCTCGTCTAAGTCCCGCTACGCCTGAGCGCAACGACCATGGGGAGGAAAACCTGTCCCGATGGTTGCGGTATCGGAGGTCCCATGGACCCTTACGTGCAGGAGCTGCTCGGACCCGCCAAGGCAGGGAACCAAGTCACAGGGCAAACTGCACGTGTCGCATCGCATGCATCGCGTCACCTTAGTACCGCAGGCTCGAGCTGTGCTGGCAGATGAGAACCGTCTGAAGCTGCTGATGGAATCGGTGGATGCAGATCCGAGGACTGTCGTTGACGTGGTAATCCACTAGCCGCTGCAAGCGCTTGAGTGTCTCGCTCATGATCAGGCATGAGGAGGCACGTGCCACACACGGAGCAGAGAATCTCAAGTGTATTCATGCAGCAGAGTGCAGCTGCAGTGCTGTCTTGACAAGGCCGGACAGAAAGCCAGGCCTGGCACCACCGCGCTTTCAGCAGAGAGGTCTGTTCTCTTGTCTCTGCCTGTCTCTGCTGCTCGGAGGGGGCTTTTCCGAAAAGTGCACGCGGCAATGAAGTTGAAGAGGCACGAGGAGCTCCGCGGTCTTCCAGATCCCGTACAGCTCAAGCATGCTCAAGCCGTAAATGCCACCTTCAGGAAGAGCCTGCTGACGAAGCGAGGCCTGATAGTGCTTGCCATATTACAACTAGAGAGTTATTCCAAGCCAACTCGCTTCGCAGCCACCCAGAAACAGGCAGGTAGATGATCTCGCCGTCCTCCCGCCCGATGATCCGAACAAGAGGAGCTGCATGGCAAAAAATAGATCATGACATTATAAACGGACGAGCCCAGGACGAAGCGGAACTCTCGTCGTGACTCTCGCCGTCGCTCTTCACAAGAGGCTGCGATCCTCTTTTCTTCCCCCTCCGTCATCCTCCACCCGAGAATCCGCGACTTCGGGTCCGGTAACTCTGCATCACCTGCAGCGACTCCATGTGCTCTTCCAATGTAATTTTGGGGCTTGAGTCAGTTAAAGTCCAGACCTCTTGGTTCTTCAGATCTCAGGGAGCGGAGGGGCCACCAGGGGCTTGATCGAAGGCCGTACCTCTACCGACATGCGCTTATAGCTGTGCCAGGCAGCCAAAGTGGCCGGAGCGCCCAAAAGCCCAAAGAAAACACGTCGAGCATCTGCGGCCGGGCAGGACTGCCGATGTCTTGGCCGGGATTCAAGATCTGGTACTGCGTTGCTGGGACTTCTGTAGCTAGCTCTTCGAGCACAGGGCGGGGAGTGAGTCTCGTCGGGGCACGGAAACGGCTTGGAATGTCATACCGACACAGACGGGCCGATTCTTGAAGCTTTGGCCTGCATGCCACAGGACAAGGTGGAACTCCCCGCTGTGTCTTCCCCCAAGAAGCGAGCCTGATGTCGGCGCTGCTAGCGCTCAGCCCACATGCACAAAAGGCTGATGAGATTTGAGCTTAAGTTTTAACTACCCTGCCATACCGGCTTTTCCCGCCTGTCCTGACTAAGTCAGCCCGAGTGTGTCCGGAACAAGACACTGGCCAAGCCATGTCCTGAAGTTTGAAAGAACATGTCTAGTAGTTGCCAATGCGATGGTGGGCCGCGACTCCCGCGAGTTCCTGATGTCGCTCAAAGGCATGCAGCGACCACTCCCACGAATGTGTTGCTGCCGACGTTTCCACCCTGCAACTCATGCACCTTCGGGTGGAGCTGTGTAGCAGGTGGAGTTTGAGCTTTCAGCGTGAGGCTTTTTGGGATGAAAAGAAGTGTGCGCATAGACATGGGCACATGACTTGGTAATGACCTTTGTCAAGCTTGCAGTCCTAACTGAACTCCATGTCGCCGCAGACAGTGCATGCTAACAAAAATGTCTTTCTTTGAAACATCAAAGGTGTTCACCGAGGCCTTGTGGACAATTGTGGAGTGTAGAGAACGGGTTGCAAGAGTCAAGCGAACCCGCACACAGAGTGGCCCAGGAGACCACAAAATTCGGATGAGGGGTGTGCGACCAAGCACCAAGATTATGGCAGGTCGGAGGCGAAAGAAGTCGCGCTCTCCGGCGCGGCACAGAGTCAGGGCGAGGATATTGCCAACCGGTGCCCGGTGGTCAGTTCCAGGTGAGGCCAGCTCATCTGGAGAAACGTGTGGACCTCTGATGACCGCGTGGCCACTTCCAGAACCCCCTCGGTTGAATGTGCTTGAGTCAAGTCTGTGGATCTTTGGCGGCAACTCCTGCAAATGACCGAGGCATATGGATGGGGGTCCAACGTGGAGGTTTCGCTCTTGCGGGAGGCATGACGGAAAGCGTGGTGGATACATGTGGATACGATGCGGTAGATGGACAGTCACGACTCAGCCACCATGACCCTGGATGGAACTGGTCCGAAGGCTCATGTCGGAGTGCTCCCAGGTCCTTGCCACTGCCAGTACAGATGAGGTTGAGGTGGAAGTGGAGGCAAATGAGTGCACACTTGTGCAGACTTTTCGTGGGAAGCCTCTGCCGCCGTTTGCGCAGAGACCGCCAGGAAATCCAGTACGCTCTGAGGAGGTTGAGGCTGAGGTGGAAGTGGAGGCAGAAGAGCGCACATCACTTGTATAGACTTCGTGGGAAGCTTCTGCCGCCGTTCGTGCACAAACTTCCTCACATTGTGTTGCAGGAAATCCAGTACTCTCTGAGCTTGTGTGGCCGCAAGGGGTCTGCGAGCCTACTCCAGCGATCCCGTGGCCTTCGAATGTGCCATGGCGAGTCTGACTTGTGGGAGCTCCTATGAGATGCTTGACTCCTTGCAGTGGTTCCGATTCAAGAATGAGGCAAAGCACCAAAAATTGCCTGGTGCTGATACTGACCTTGTGTCCTGGGTGGACACATGGTGCGACGAGCTCCGGCTCCAACGAGGTCATAGGTGGCCGGCAGCGGTTGCAGCAGAGGCGGAGTACAGGTCAGAAAAGGAAACCCCGCCTGCCGAAGAGGCCTGGCGTCAACGCTAGGAGGAACATCGTGAGCAAGAAATGCAGGCGATGGCCGCTAGGGCTTCGCGGGTCCGGGAGAGCTTGGGACACAGATGCCAATTGGGTTGCTTTTACCAATGGATGTTCCAAGAAGTAAAATTCTGATGAGCCGGGTTATGGAGGAGAACGGTGGCCTCAAGGCTTCTTCTGCCGAAACGGTGCGTGCCCCGACGATGGTGCGGCCCCCACTGCACAGCCGGTGCGGCCCCGACTACACAGCCGGACATGCAGAATGGTGTCCCCTCGTCCTGGAATTCGCCACTTACCAGGCCCAGTATAGCTGCTTTAAGAGGGGTGAGATCGGAGAAAGCAACGCATGATTCATAATGGCCCAGCAACTTGTGGAAGAGATGGCGGATAGTGGCGATGAGGTGAATGACGTTCAGGGTTTGCAGGGAGGCAGTGACCAGGGCAATGAAACGAGCGGTAGAGGTAGGGAGTGCGGTCATGAGGATCGGGATCTTCCTATACCGGGTCGAGCAACGAGGGTGAAGGTTTTCCAGGCGAATTGGCTGCGAAGCCACCGTTGACAAAGAGGGCATTTCGGTACCCGGTCTCTGCGCTAGCCCGGTAGTGGTGGAGACCACGTCCCTGAGGCGCGCCCAAACCTCCTCGCCTGCAAGGCAGTCAAGCAATTGCACGTTTTGCATTTCCGAGAGGGCTTAGATCGTTGAGTTGAGCCGGGGTGTTTGCCCTGCTACGAGCACACCAAAGCGACCAGCTTCTCGATTTGGGGCCGAGCGGCCGGCCGGAAAAAAACATGGCCAGCTGCGTGGATGCTATGGTGGCAACCTCGCAGATGCTGGCTATTTAGGACTCCTGGACCGAGCGCAGCGAGCATTGCCTAAGAAAGGAGAAACAGCCTACGCAAGGAAATTCTTATAAGACCGTGGAACAACATTCGGGGTTCTTCAGTATGACATAGAGTCTTCCGTGAAGGCATTGATTGCCCGCAAGAGTCGGGAGAGAGGAAAGTGGATTGAGCATTCGAGCAGTGCCAGAAGATCATCCGCAAAGCAACGGCTCGGTGGGCACTGCACAGAGAACAGTGTGCGGACATCATTTCGGACTCACCATCGTACCTTTGGGCAGTGAAGCATGTGCTGTGGCCGATCGACGCATGGCTGCACATCCAATGTCAGAAAATGGGAGAAGAAACTATGAAAATGGATTGTATGTGTTGGCTCAAGCAGTGATGGGGTTGAGTATGCAAATTCGCGATGCCATAGCTCTGCACAGTTCCTCGCAAAAAACCGCAAATTCTGCAAGTCCACGTGTCCTACATTGAGCCATATCTACAGTTCTTAAAGGATCTAGTTGCCATGTGCAGCCGTGCACCGCTGCAATTACTCAAAAATTGGGACGGTTCAGCTGCACCTTTTGGTGCATAGGGCGCAAAAATTAAAATCGCCATATTCTTGAGAGTGTCTCCTTCCGCAAGCGTTGGTATTGTGCTGTTTTTTGCATTGTGTTCTGCTGCCAAAAACTGTGCTGGATTGCATGGCCTGACATTGCTTTGGCTCAGATCTCTTGACTTGTAAATTAGGGATGGATACTAGTGCAATGCGGACTGCCAGAAAACAGATCCCGAAAACTGTTAGCCGGTCGTGGAATGCCGTTTCAAACAAATGGCATCATGTAACCTGATGCGTTGTCATGGCTTTTGACAATATCTAATGTTTTTTTGCCGTCTTACGGAGGCAGAGGGCCGGATCTGTAAACCCTAAACGGATTCAGCCCAAGCACATCAAGCTGGAGTTTCAATAAGCCAGATTCAATTAAGCGGAAGATGTTATTTCTCTCTGCTGGTCACGTTGACTGAACTGAAAACAGCCGGTGCCTCAGTGCAGCAGCCAGAAAAATACTCCAGTATGATGGAGAGGGTGAAAAGAGGGCGGGAGCAAGTGCCAAGGAAGTGAATTCCCGCATCCGCAATTTTTTTTCACCTTAAGTCTTAAGTTTCTCCGAGCACTCGTTGTTCACATCCAATACCGCTTAGTTTGGCGGCCTTTGTTCATGGTTTTCGGCAGGGAGCAGCCGTTGTTGCAACCCTGTACAGTAGGGGGCTGGGTGGGGGTTAGGAGAGGCATCGCATAGTGAACAGCAATTGCCAAGGTGACCCCTTTGCATCCACTTGCATTGGCCATGCCGCGGGCTTCAACAGCTTTCGTGATGCGCACCTCGCGTCCCATGGTCTATACAGCGGCCTCATGCCGATTTTATTTAGAAAGCTCACCAAGGTCTCTTCAAAGTATTTGGTCTTGCTTTACGGGCCTTGGAAGCTTGTCCAGGCGTGAGCGTAAAGCATCATGCCGCAAGAAGGATGTTGCTCCTCTCTGAAGAAGGTCTAAACAAGACACCGAAGAAATCAGCTTCGAGGTTGGATTCAGGTCTCAGATGCATTCATGGTGGCCATTGTCTAGAAACAGGACCAGCCTTGGCAAGAAAACCTTGACCAAATGATCAACGAGGCCTGCTGTTCCTGCAAATCTCTCTGCCTTGCACACTTTGTGGTCTGGGTGTGTGCAGACCAGAAACGTCCTTCAGCCACTGTGCTTGTCTTCCTGATCTAAGCTAGAAGGCCCAGGGGCCCGGAGTTGGAACAGAAGATTCTGCCAGATGAGCCGGAAGCATTTAGGCAGGATAAACCTCGGTCTTGCAACAGCAGAAACAAGCAGGAACGGCGTGAGCTTTGAGCAAGCAGTGCGGATTCAGAGATATGACCGCTCCGTCTTCGCAACTTGCCCAATGATTCGTATTCCAAGCTTTGCGGTGTCGAAACCCGCTTCTAGGAAACTCCTGTTTGGCCAGGTCCTCCTTACGGAAATCGCCAGACTTCGAGCTACCTTCAGTCAGCACTTGCGCGAGCACGAGGCAAGGTTGAGACTATGCTCGCACATAGCTGCACTGGCAAAGCGAATCTGGGCCATGTGCCATAGTTGTTTTGATGAATTGCTTCGGACTCCTTTACTCTTCGAAGTTTCATCACGCTCAAAGCAATGCCCAGCTGGCAACATCACACGAGCATTTCCAATTCAGTACCCAGGTCGCTCTGTCCCAGCTGCGCTCTGACAACGGGCATGCGCGTTCGTGAGAAACTTAGCGATGAGTCGAACATGGTGACCTTCTGCCAGAGGCACAGCGTCGTGCTGAGGTGGGCTCGGCAGGATGTCGAGCTTCTCAGGCAACAGGCGCGTCATGGCTGTGTTTGGTGCAACTTACGTAACTTACGACGATGCAGACTTTTGTATAGGTTCAGCTGATGGAAAGACAGCGTCGGCGACGAAACTTTGAAGTGAAAAAGCTTCGAAAGGCAGACGAGCGTGCGAATCAAGAAGATTCCCCATGGCCCTGGAGAGCTTGTTTCGAGGCGATGAAAGAAGTACGAAATGCTCTTTTTACAGAAACGCCTCCAGCTGCTCAGGCCGATGGACAGTCGAACAGTTGCAAACCAGCTGATGATAGCCAATGCTAACTTTATGCCCTATTCCAAGGGGCACCTGGCTGCAAAGCAGCTCCTCGATGAGGCCAGTCACACGGTAGCGGACGTGCCTTGGTCGATACATCCATGTTTGTGAGGTGCGAAATGAGCGCGAACGGAGGCTAGCTGAAAAGCGCTATTTGGAGGACGGATCCACTCCCCGACTCGCATCACCACACCTCATGCCATATCTGAAGTCATGCGCCACTTGCTTGATTTCGCTGCGATTTATTGCGGACTGAGATCTAAGTTACAGTTGTGCTGCTTGCTCGTCAAACCGAGCTGGCAAGAGAGCTTCAGAACCTGTCATGCTCGCGTTCTGAATATCTGCCATACCATTCTTAGGGTCCATGTCATCGCGGACCGGCGTGACAAAACAAAGCCTCAGCTAGGATCACAGACCCACACGCATGTTACCAACTCTGATGCTGGGTCCGGATGCATTCCTCAAATTCTTCAGGACCAAATAAAGAAGCTGAGCGACGAGGTTGAGGACCGAACCCCGACTGGCCTGGCTGTTAGCTTGACCTTGCAGGGGGTGGCCTTGGCAGGAACAGCAAAATGCTGCTCCACTTGTCGATCATGAAAAGGAAAAGCTGAAAGCCTCCGTGCGGGATCTTAGACTGGGTCTGAGGACCACGAAAGATGGTGTAGCATCAGATGTCCTTTGCTGATAGATCAATATTTCGAGGAGGGCTTGCGTCTTACGTCTGACCTCTGGGATGACCTGTTGGATCACCGTGGCAGAGTCCATTTTAATATTGGTCACCAAGCCAGCGAGCAGCAAGTTGCGTCGAGCCTGGAATTCAGATACTAACTGGCCACCCAATGACATGCTTTCCGGGAAGCATGGACTTCGTGGTTGCGCGCTGTCGATCATCATCAATATCAACATCGGGCTTCCGGGGAGTAGCTCTGTTTCAGAAGGATCTTGCTGCTGTCGCGGACGGTGGAAACATCCATTCCATCAGGACGGTAGGACCAAGTCTTTGCAAACTCCACTTAGTAGGCCGACTCGATTCGATCTAGAATCTCCATCTTGGTGAGCCGTCTCCCATGTGGAAGTCCTTCGCGTGCGCTATTGCACCAACTGTCCCAGCCATACACAGCCTTTGTAGAGCTTCCTGTGCAAGCGTGCAGCGTGCCATCGTGCTTCCGATGTTGCAAAGCACCCTCATCATGCTGCCTGCCAAGCCAAAAGCAAGAGCTGTCAAGAGCTTCTTTGCAATTGCTTAAGACCGTCCACAACCCCTGCATGGTCCGCTTGGGACCGGAGGAGCGCGATTTTTTTCTCGCACCACAAGCACGCGAGAATGTTTCACTATTGAAGCCTTGGTTTGCAACATTTTGCAACTACAGCAAGATGCCGCAGGTCTGCAGGCACTCGTGTAGGACCTTTCGAATTTCGAGCAATGCAAAATCTCAGAGGGTCGGCTGATCTTTCAATGCCAGAGTGAGAGCCAGCAATGGCTACAAGAATTCTTTGATCAGATGTGGTCGCAAGGTGAGGCAGCTGAAGTTGTCAATAGAATCGAAAGATCGATATGCATGCTGGGTGGTGGCCTTGGCAGTGCTGAACTCTTGCACTCTAGCATGCACAGTGCAGCGAAACAGCGACCGCCCGCCAGGTGTGCAACCGCGCATCCCACGAGCGCCAGGAGTCTGGATCGGACACCGAGGTGAGACCTGGGCCGCTGCACTCGGGTCTGCACTCGGATGCGCTCGTTGCAGGACTCGGACCGCCATGAAGACGAGTGCGTTATGATGAGAAGGCGAGTCCATGTCTCTAAGCACGACATTACTAGTGCACAAAGCTCATCCAGAAGCTTTGCATTTCGTGTTCTCGAACTGCATGACTTGGGCAGTCACTCAACAGGTCCATAGGCGCGTAGCTGACATCGTGCTGGCATGAGTGTTCTGCATGTGCCATGCTCTCAAACCCTCAGAGATTGCATCCGTTTTGAACTAGTAAAGCCTGCGGTTCAAGGAGTTCTCAAATGAAGTCAAAGAGAGGCCCATAGAGACGGCATGAGGGGCCTCGCAGCACCAAGACCAAAATGTTCCGAAATCTCACCAGAAATTTGACGGCTCAGAGTTTGTCCACACCGGAGACGATACCATTGATATTATTTCACCTTTAAGTAGTGTCGTTGCCATGGTTTGTTTCGAAGGGAAGAATCTGTGAGTTTTGTTGCTCGATTTAGAAGCTGCGCTTTCGTATTTGTATATGATTAGAATACACGCAAACCTAATATGCAGACAGTAAGGGAGCTTCTAAAGGGACCTAGTTTTGCTCACGCACGGGGTGCGGTGAGGGTGGGGAAGGCGGAGGAAATCAGTGAATAAACATGTCCATGGACATTGCGAACATGTCCCCAGACGCTGCAGCGTTTCTGCCCTTGTGGATACTGCAGCCTGACGATGTGTGATGTTTCTAAAGCGGGATGCGCAGTCGCAAGCGTCCGTTCCTATTGCGGCCATGTCCACAAACACTGGTTGTTTTCGCCGTGCTGTCCATTTTGCTGGGCTAGTGGCTGAAGGCGTTTTACCTTTCTGAAAAAAGACACATAGTCGCAAGCGTCCGTTCCAATCATGCAAAAGCTCCGTTACTTGCTGCATTTTCGCAGTTTACATCGTTTAGACATGCTTCCACCTTACTTATGAAGTCGCAAGCTACATGGCTGGTTGGGTAGGGTGTGCTTGCTCTTATAAACATGTAGACGTGGTGCTCTCAGCCATTATGGCTGAAACAAAGAGCACCAGTTTTGATTTCCACCATAGGCATGGCGGCTCATGCGCTCAATTTGCCTCCGGTGGTTCTGGTGTCTCTTACAAAGGAGGCCTCACAAGTGCTACAGGGCCTCAGCATTGCTTGTCTGGAGGACTTCGCAAACCTTGTTGCTGATCCTC